AAGTTTCTGGGCTGAATATTGAACCTTAACAGTTTGTTTTTTTTACCCAGCCAGAGTTGAGTTTCTCAAACTCAGAGATCAGTTTTCCTGACTTTTAGATTTAACGTGTGAGTCTTACATATTTGAAAAGTGGGTAAATACTTGATATTGAAAGGACTCTCATCGTTTACTTACCAAAGTTAGACTCGACATGGAGAAAAAGTTTATCGCTTATAGTTGGTAAAATTATAATCTTCCGAAGTATTCCATCTGCAGGTAGCTGACCTTTATGGGAAATGAAAAAGAGATGAACAAAATGTACCGAAGCCACCTACAGAAGCAGAGAGCGATGGAATGAAAATGGTATTTATGCAGATGATTAGAATACTAAAGATGAGTCTACTCATCGGCGTTATATAAATGTCTTATCAGCAGACAGAACAGCACTGATGAAGCGTGTTGTGATTTATTGTTTTTTTCTTCCCCCAAATACAATTATCATTAAGTTTGCATTCAGGCTTGATGAACATACTCCACAACAACCCCGCCTCTTGTTTGTTTGATGCAAATTACTGGGCTTTGCTCAGGTCTTGCAGTCTTGCCTCTGTGCTATGGTTAGCTGCGTCAGCTAACTTTGAGGATTTTGCACGCAAACATGTCTGTTGCAAATTGCATGACCTGAACAAAGTGAACGCTAAGAGACGTGTAAACCTGCGTTAAGATGTCTTTCATTTAACAGCCTTTTCTTAAATGGAGTTTGCGTTCTTAAAAAGCCTGCTTTTTAAGACCTTCTCTAATGAAAATCAAGTCTGTGACCTTGGTGATGCGTCTATACTTTTAGTGAGTCATTTATGGGTGTGCTAGACTCACTTTCCTGCTCTCACATACACTCGTGCAGTGAAGCCCACAACAGAAAGGTAAAATGAAATATTAATCAAGTTGATGAAAACACATCGACAATAAACAAGATGAAAAATAAATAAGAAGAAAATAACAAACATTTTTTTGTCCTGTTCAAAGAGAAAAGGAAAACAAAGAAACTGTTTGCATTGCAGGCGCGAAATGCATCCACACTTTTAAACCCTGTGCTGTTAGCTTCCTCGATGCTGTGTTAGCTCGGCTGTTTAAAAACCGGCGCACTGAACACATCAGCTTGTTCTTAGAATATCTGATATTGCTTTTTGGTCCAGCGTCGGACAGATAGCCGATCCAAGTGTAGGATTGGAACGTCTGTGATCTATGTACACCCAAGAAGGTAAAAGTCGGACTTTACCTGGTATAGGGATGCAAC